CCCACAATTATTCAACATGTCCAATCCAAAGAATCAAAGAATTCGGCGATCGATGTTTTGTGTTTGGGAGAGTTTTGATTGATTGAAAATTATTTGAGCATATATATATGGTCCAATATTATAAGCAAAGTGCCAATGTTGTTGATTATAATCGCCACAAAAGTGTCTACTCATGAGTTCATATAAGGAGTAAACATTTTGCTTTTGATAACACTACTACTCTTTAATTATAATCATGTTTTGCTTGTATTTTTATAAAGAATGTTAATATTTTTTATTTGTAAATATTGACTACATTTTTTTTTTTGATTTGTTATCAACTAGTCTTGGGCCATTGCCATTTGCCAGGTGAACAATGTTGTTTCCTATTTTATTAAACAATTGATTGATTGATGATGGCTACATTTTGATCATAATTTCCACTTCTATGCCCGACCCAACATTTTTAGTAATCCACTAATAATTCCACATTTTTTCTGTCCTAATTAAGTTAAGAATGATATTACTATGTCATATTATGTCACGTTTCAAAAAGCTGGATAGATAAAAAAGAAAAAAAAGAGAGAAAAAAAGGAAAAAAAAAAACTATCTTTTATTGTTGAGAATTCTAGAACAACCCATCACATAAATAATAGTTGAAAAACTATGATTTATTTATTGTTGAAAAAATCTTGAATAAATCTACCCCATCAAATAAAAAAAAAAAAAATCGTTTGGAAAATTTGAAAATGGTGTAATACAATTTGAATTCCATACATGTTATTGTTTGTCATTGCCTAAAGATGTTCAATTATTCATTAGTTAGGTTGAGACCCAAGGGTTGTTAGACCAATCTTTCCCTATTGGGCACATGGTAAAAAAACTTAAAAGTTTCGATGGTCGACTTATTCCAAACGGTTTTTTTACAAACAGTTAACTAGCCAATTGAAGCATCTAAACACATATTCACAAGCGGCCAACTAACCAATTGTAGCACTAAACAACTAAGTTCAGGGAGAGATATACACGACGAGAACACATGCAGGATAGAAACTACGATGATCTAAGCACACCCACAACCTACAATAGTAGAAATATATAACTCCCACAAATGGAGATTTTAATTCCAATAAAGGAGAATAATTAAGAAAAAAAATACTTCTCAAATGTGAGAAATGAAAACTAACACAAGCACAAACAAACACAAACAAACACCAACAAGAACTAACACACTAGAACTAGAATCAAGCCTTCCCACAGCCAGCAAGCCACACCGCGAAAGAAACCATGGCACCGATCTTAAAGGCAACCACCCCCACGGACAGAGACACGACCCAAGTCGCTGATTCAGAAACTGCAGTAAAGTACGTCTAACTAGATTCAAAACCTATTGACCCTACCCTTCTCCCAGGTAGAAGACCCCTAGACTCGAAAATGGAGGCCAGTCCCAAACTCCAGTCCCTACACCAATCGACAGCCATAGGCCCACAAGCCACCGGAGCCACGACCCACATCTACTAGCGAGACCTACCACCCAACACCAGGGAAAGACAGGAAAATATGGGAGAGAAGGACCTCGGATCCGACCACTGAAAAGTAGTAATCGGAGCAAGCCACCCTGCCATGCCAGAACCGCCCTGCAGATCCGCATAGCCAATCAATTTCAGCACGACGATATGCTACCCGACCAAGAAGACACGATTCAACAGGAGCTAGTGAGCACGACCTGGTGGCGGTCAGCACTGCAACGGCACGGAACGCCCAGATGAGAGGAGGCTGACGAAAACACACGGACTAGGTTTCACTGGTCACAGTGGCACAAAGGATTTGGGGAAGTGTATTTTTGTTCGAGAAGATATTTGTACCTAAAAATAATGGAAAATGCTACAGTCACGTTATGGAATCATTCCGTCGGGATTTGTAACCGTTAGATCATTATGTGACCGTCATGGATAGTTGATCTAACGATTACAAACCCGACGGAATGGTTCCATAACGGGACCGTAGAATATCCCAAAAATAATATTCTAAGCAAGTCTCAATTTCAGAATTCACACTATCAAAACAAAGTTGGAAATCAATGCACATGATATCACTGAAGCCATTTAATGCAACCAATTCAACTATCCTAGTATTGATGGAGTTCATATAGTATAAAGTATAAACATTCTTAAACGATGTAATTAGCAGTAATCAGTACTACTTCCCATCAACTTAAAAATGTTAATGCAAATATTTAATGATATTTAGATTGCAATGAATGCCATTTAAAAGGTTAATTTGTACACCTTTTTTAGCAGCTACGTACCTTCATTATTTTTGTTCTGCCGCTCCACGTAGCTCACCTACAAATCTACAAATTCGAAAAGAAAAAGCACGAAATTATTACATGATCATAGGATATGAAAAACATAAGTGAAATCAACCTACCTATATATCATTGTTGTACAAGTAAAAGCCCTACGTAGTGAATATTAAATCCAAAACATAGGATGATGATGAGATATATATATTTATTTAAATTATATTTTTTATAATATAACATGTCAAAATAAAAACATATATATATATATGTCAAAATTATATATATGTTTTTATTTTGACATGTTATATTATAAAAAAAATATAATTTAAATAAAAGTACAACAATTTAAAATATAAATACAAATATTTACTTATATTAAAAAATTAGGGAGCTACGGTCCGATTACGGAACTATTACATCAGGGTTTGTAACTGTTAGATCATCATGTAACCATCCGGGATAGTTGATCTAACGGTTACAAATCCCGACAGAATGATTCCGTAACGGACCGTATAATCTCCCTAAAATATTATGCCTCAGCTTATCTACAAGTTGCTTTAAAATTAATTTTGAGCAACAAAATAACACTACATGCCCATGTTCACGGGAGAGTGTTACTCAGTGAGAAGTCAACAGTCTTTTGGCATACACTCAATAAATAAAATAAAATAAAAAAGGAAAAAACAGACTCCTTTTCATCAGTTGCAGAAGAAAAAAAAAAAGAGTAGAAATTATAAAGGTAGCATCTTTTTTCCCTTTTTTTTTTTTTCCTTTTGGGGTTTGAAACTTTTCTCTGTGAGTGGTGACTAGTGAGAATGTGAGCAACAGCAAAGCATTGTATATTCATACAAGACTCTGCCCTTTTACTTTTTTTTTTTTTATCTGCTAAAAAGGGGTAAAACAATTTTTTCCATCTCTCTTCCGCCATTTGCAATCCTCTTATTGCTCTCTTTTACCCTCACTTTTTGTCAATCAAATGGGGCCTCGAATTCCCCCAGTAAGGAGCAAAAATCACCTTTCTCTACATTGACAATACACTTTCTCCATACTCGTTAACTCTGTCTCTCCCTGCTATTTTTTCTGATATTATTATATGTATGTATAAAGGGTTCATTTTTCTTAGTGGGGTATAGATTTTTTTTTTTTTTTTCACGTTTTGGTTTGTGGGAGTTGGCGGTGAAATGGGTTCTTGGATTTGAAGTCAATGGAAACTGAAGTTGGAGACTTTTTGAAAATCTTGTTTCTGAAGTGTAAGTTGTTTCAGATCTGAATTTTTGCTGCTTTCAAAACTGACTCTTGTTTTGTTGTATTGGTTTTGTTCTCTCTAATGTAAGCCTTTTGGCATTTGGATCTGAAAGTGCTTTAGTTTGACACTCTCTTAAGGCTTTCCTTGGATACTAATGGAATCTAGTGGAATATGTCTGATTTGCTTCGTGTTTCAACATTAATTTTATCTTTTTAGTGATTGAGACTATTGAATCTAAATTTTATATCTCTGTTTTTGTAATGCTAGAACAGTGTTGCTCTTGTCAATAGCTGTTCTGTTCCCTTGAGTGTGTGTGCCTGTGTAAGTGAAAGATTTGTAAAGTTCTCAACTTTGCCTTGAACTCAACAGGGCATATATATGCATCTGATGCTATTTTAACTAACCCACCATGTCTGTCAATGTCATATCCAACATTTCATCATATGGAGCTCAATATAATTTTCTGTTTCTTGAAGGTTCCACCTTGATTCTCTGTCTCAAGTGGGCTTAATCCACAATCTGAGGATGCTTGGAGCTTCACCTTCCAAGGGATCATCAACAGACAGTGAAAATGGATCTATTTCAAGAAAACACTAAACTCGTGCATTTTCCCAGCACAACTTCCAGAAACCTCTCCTCGTCATCATCCGCTTTCTACTCGGCAAACCAGTCTCCCTTCTTCTCCCCGAAGTCGGTAACTTTCCGTTTATCCACCGACGAACCACCTCGACCCTCCACATCAGCAAACATCACTTTTGACGTGGGCACTCATCTTGAACCCAATAAATTAGAAAATGTTTCGTCTTCCACGGGAATACCAAAGAGCCCCCATTTGGGCACCGAGCCTTTCGGCAGGCAAAACAAGGGTAGAGCCAAGAAAGTGGAAAGACTACTCGAGACCTTTTCCCCCAACCGGCTGAGAAGTTGCGATGTGTACATAGGCTTTCATGGTCGGAAGCCCTTATTGCTTAGGTTCACCAAGTGGCTAAGGGCCGAACTGGAGGCTCAGGGCCTGACCTGTTTCGTGACTGACCGTTCCCGATGCCGAAACACCAGTAAGCACAAGATAGTCGAGAAGGCCATGGATGAGAGCACGTTTGGGGTTGTGATCCTGACGAGAAAGTCGTTCAGGAACCCGTACACAATTGAGGAGCTAAGATTTTTCTCTGGGAAGAAGAATTTGGTACCTGTGTACTTTGATGTGAGCCCAGATGACTGCCTCGCGAGGGACATAATCGAGAAGAGGGGCGAGGTCTGGGAAAAGCATGGTGGGGAGCTGTGGTTGCTGTACGGGGGGCTCGAGAAGGAGTGGAAGGAGGCCATGGGGGCCCTCTCTCATGCAGACGAATGGAAACTAGAGGCCCACGATGGAAAATGGAGGGAATGCATAATTCGGGCTATTACGCTTTTGGCCCTGAGGCTGGGCCGGCGGAGCATAGTCGATCGGTTGTCCAAGTGGAGAGAGAAAGCCGAGAAGGAAGAATTTCCTTTCCCGAGAAATGAGGCTTTTGTCGGACGGAAAAGGGAGCTGTCCGAGCTCGAGTTCATGCTTTTTGGGGACATTAGTGGTGAGGCTGAGCGGGACTATTTCGAGCTCCGGGCCCGGCCCAGGCGCAAGAACTTGACGATTGCATGGGGCCGGAGTGGGTCAGTGGATGAGAAACGCAAGGGGAAAGAGCACGTTGTGTGGAGAGAGTCGGACAAGGATATTGAGATGCATAACAACGATCTCTCTCAACAGGTGGAGAAACCGAAAGGCAGTTTAAAGCATGTGAGGCGGCGACCAGCCAAGATTGTGTACGGAAAGGGCATCGCGTGCGTGTCGGGTGAGTCCGGGATTGGGAAAACCGAGCTCCTCCTGGAGTTTGCTTACCGGTTTCACCAGCGGTACAAGATGGTGCTGTGGATAGGTGGGGAGAGCCGGTACATCCGCCAGAACTACATGAGCCTGCGCTCGTTTTTAGAAATCGACTCCGGTTTAGAGGGTGCTGCAGAGAAAGGCCGGTCGAAGAGCTTCGAGGAGCAGGAGGAGGCGGCTGTGGCTAGGATCCGGAAGGAGCTCGCGAGGGACATCCCGTATTTGATAATAATAGACAACCTGGAGAGCGAGAAGGACTGGTGGGACCACAAGCACGTGATGGACCTGTTGCCTCGGTTCGGGGGTGAGACCCACGTCATAATATCGACCCGCTTGTCCCGGGTCATGAATGTGGAGCCCCTGAGGCTGTCCTACCTATCGGGGGTCGAGGCCATGTCATTAATGCAGGGCGGGCACACAAAAGATCAGTCAATCACGGAAATTGACGCGCTTCGCGTCATGGAGGAGAAACTCGGGAGGCTGACCCTTGGCCTGGCCATCGTGGGGTCCGTTCTGTCTGAGCTCCCAATCAGCCCGGCCCGACTCCTAGACACCATTAACCGGACCCCCTCCCGAGTTGTGACATGGGGTGGCCGAGAGACCCATGCGCTCAGGAGGAATGGCGTTCTCCTGCAGCTTTTCGAGGTTTGCTTTTCGATATTCGACCATGCGGACGGGCCGGGCTGCCTGGCTACCCGCATGGCCCTAGCCAGCGGCTGGTTTGCCCCGGCACCAATACCGGTGTCAGTATTAGCCCTCGCTGCCCAGGAGCTGTCTGAGAAGCATCCACGCAGACGCCTCTGGAGAAAGCTCCTCTGCTCTCTGTCGTGCGGCGGGTGCTCGTCCTCGTGGGGCCGCAAGTCGGCAGCCGAGGCCTCCTCATTGCTAGTGAGATTCAACATCGCGAGAGCATGCGCTGGGGAAGGGTCCGTCCGATTTGGACACCTTGTGAAGCTCTACTCACGGAAGCGCGGGATCAACAACAGGTCTGCACGAGCCATGGTGCGGGCCGTGCTCTCATGGACCCCTGCCCCTGCCCGAAGCCCCGAGCACCTGTGGGCCGCATGTTTTCTCCTCCTCGGATTCGGTAAAGACCCGATAGTGGTTGAGCTGCAGGTGGCGGAGCTGCTGGTGCTCGTGAGGGAGGTGGTGCTGCCGCTTGCGATAAGGACGTTCGTAACGTACACTCGGTGCCGGGCAGCTGTGGAGCTGCTTCGGCTGTGCACGGACGCACTGGAGGCCACAGACCAGGCGTTTGTAACACCTGTCGACAGGTGGCTGGACAAATCGGTTGCGTGCTGGAGGCCGATGCGGACGGGGGCGCAGCTGAACCCGTGCCTGTGGCGGGACCTGGCGCTGGCGAGGGCCAGCGTGCTCGAGGTCAGGGCTAAGCTGATGGTGAGGGGAGGGCAGTTTGATGTGGGCGATGACCTGATTAGGAAGGCGGTGTTTATAAGGACGTCGATTTGTGGGGAGGATCACCCGGAGACTGTGGCAGCACGAGAGACGCTCGGGAAGCTGACGAGGATCATTAATAATAGTATTCAGAACCATACTTCGCCATAGTTTTCTTGGAACTTTTTTTTTTTTTTTTTAATTCTTTGTGATGCTGTAGCTGATAGTGGAGGTATAGTATAGTACGTCTGTTTATGTTGAAATGAGAAAAAATTTCCAAGGGAAATTTTATATCATCTTTTTCTTTTATCTCTTGTTTATACTAGCAGTTGTACTTTAAAATGTGATCAGAAAGAAGACGTGACCCACATGCAAATTATAGTACGAAAAGACGGACGGGGCCCAGAACACGAAAATCATTCAACGGCACAATCGACATGCCGATCATCCGTGGAGCTTCTCCAAGAAGAATGACCATCTCCTTCACCGTTTGAACACATCCTGATAAAGTTGATAATACGAGTTGTCTCATCAACTTTTGCATTGGAAACACGAAGCACCATCCTATGTCTCTAGTTCAGGGCCGTCTCCAGAATTTTGGAGGCACCAGACAAATTTTTCAAAGTGGCCCGTAATCGTATTTGTATATTTTAAAATTTTTAATTGAACAAATAATATTAAACAATATTGTAAATAATAAATACGAAAATACAATGAACATGAGAAACAAAAGTAAACTAAAATAACAAAAGCTTACAACTTTCTCGTCCTCTTTTGTGCAAAAATTTTTGATCAAAACCTATTTTGTTTTCTGCATTCGTCAAACATCGTTTGTAGCGTTTATTATTGAAACTTTTACCTTTATCGATACTAGAATACACGACATTAGTAACTCTAATCACCATTTCTCGACTAAAAAAATACTTTGAGGCATATTATCCTCCCAATATCCAGAATCCAATAAGTCACCCAAATTTTCACAATTTACAGATTATCATTCATATTCTCGATATCATTTACATTCTCTAACTTATGATTTATTCTTAAAAAACTTCAACCCCTCTATCATTATCATTTATATGAATTTGATGTGTTAATATCGTTCAATTTCAACTAGGAGTGCATCAGGTACCTCCTACACAATTTTAATAGGATCAAACACATCAACTTCGACTACAGAAGTATTAGGTTTTACGTATATATCCATACATCAGGCGAGAGACTTCGTTAGTATCTCTTGTTTTTCTTTATTTCCTTTTCGAGCATCTCGAATAGAATTTGAGTTTGCCCGTCGTAACTCATATAAGAAATCTTATCTTTGAATAATATTTTAGTAAGTTTAATCCCAATGATAATTAACAAAAGTTATAAATCAAAAGGAACAATAAGTATTTAACATATAATTAGTACAAAAAAATTTGAATCAAAAGCTTGAAATTTCTATATGTAATATGCTAAGTTAGAAATAATACGCTCCATGTAAGTGATTTGAATGAAGAATTAATATGCTCTTTAATGTTTTATTTTCATGTTGGATGAAACGTGAAGGTGAGAAGAGGAGCCACAATTATATTGTTATCTCTTAACCTTAATTAGTCTTAATAATTTTGTATATGGGCTAAGCCCAAACAAATACATACAATTAAAAAAAAAAAATGTGAGGCCTTTCAAAATTGGAGGCCCTAGGCAACTGCCTCTTTTGCTTGCCTCAAGAGCCGCCTCTGCTCTAGCTGACACTCATTTAATGCACCAATAACTTTTTTTTTTTGTATAAATACCGGTCTTCAAGCCCGAAAAAGAAATCACACATGAAAGCTGTTACGAAAGATTATACGGGTTGAAACAAGCACCAAGTGCCTAGTACAAAAGACTGAACATGTATCTTCCTAAGAAGGGATTCAAGCAAGGGGTAACATCAAATATATTTTGCACTAAGGACAAATGAAGACCTTGTTGTGATGTAAATATATGTTGATTTTATTATTATTATTTTTTTTTGTATAAATATCGGCCTTTAAGCTCAAAAAAGGAATCACACATGAAAACTGTTACGAAAGATTGTACATGGTTAAAGCAAGGACCAAGGGCATAGTACAAAACACTGACATGTACCTTATTGACAAGGATTCAAGCGGGGGGAACATATCAAATGATTTTTTTTTTTTTT